ATTACACAAAACAAGTAGTTACTTGCCTCGGGGTTGCTATGAAAGCAAAAACAAATTCAGGTAATGCACATAGCATACCATATGCACACATATATTCACTTACCAGATACTTACGGAGGACCTACTAATGTGCCTGGACTAGGCAGTAGGAATAAAGAAGAAAACAAGGGGGATGTGATCCCTGCTTTTATGGAGGCTACTTGGTGAGGGATGGGGACAGAGAATACACAAATAAATGATAAATTCTGATAGTTCTTTGCTTATGAAGTTGGTGGTAAGATACATAATGACTGGCCAGGGATAAAGGGAGACCTTATTTAGATGGGATGGTTAGGAAAGGTCCCAGTAGGAGATGTTACTTGCACCTGAGGAACAACTTAAAAAGACAGCCATGCAGAAGTCTGTCGCTAGAGGTTATCAGGGAAAGGGAAGAGCCCTGGTAAATGAGACGATGTTTTGGAGAAAGAGAAAGAAGGCCAATGTGGCTGGAGCAGTGATTGATGGGGAGTGTGGCTCCAGTGAGGTAGGAGAGGTTGACAGTTGTGCCAGAACCCATAGAGAATATAGTTGGTTGTGAAAAGGAGCTTGAAATTTTGTTCGACTTGCACTGATAAAGCCCTTGATAATTTAAACTGAGGAGTTACATGATCTGATTCATGTTTGAGAAAGACCATTGTGGCTGTTATAAAAAGAGACTGTACTGAAAGACGGGGGGAAGTGAGATCAGTTAGGCTCTGCAGCAGTCCAGCTGGAGAAGGTAACAACATTAGATTATAGTGACAGAGGAGTGGGTTAGATTTAGGGTTTATTTGGAGTTAGAGTGGGGAGCTTCCTGCAGGTAGGGAGGTAAGGTAAATATGCTGAGATTTACTCAGTGTCATCCCAGCTGCACTCCCCTATTATCACCTGTATTATTCTCAGAAACCCTCATAGTACAAAGTCACTCATCTCTATTTCAGGTCGTACATAGTCTCATATATATGGAACAAGGTGAAATAAGGAAAAAGATCCCCAAACAGTCAAACTAGGTACGGAAAGCCTTTGCACATATTCAACCCTTACTTCTGCCTTGGAACATAGTTTTAATGAGCCTAATAATCTATGCCTAGAATATAGTCTGAAGGGAAAAGGAAAAGAAAGAGGGACAGCTTAAAATAGGAGGCTGTATGGCAGTACAGGCAGGAATGGTGGATAAATAGATGAGGGAGAAAACATAAAGTATAAAAAGCAAGTTAAAGGGCATTGTTGAATTATGATTTTCTTCATAGTTAATGAAGGCACAGAAGACTGAACAACGTTGTAGAGTGTCCTGCCTATAAAATGGTTAAAACAAAACTAAATCCATTTGGCTTACAAAAAGTAAGCTTAGGGTACATAAAAATGATTTCATGTGGACCCTTACTTCCCCAAGGTGCCTAATAAATGATTCTTTTAAATATATCTTGTGGTCGTGTACACAAAGTGTTGGACCTTTATCCCCAGCTGATAAAGGTCTATTAAAATGTAATGTACACAGAGCCTCTCCTTCTGGGAAAAGGGCATGGATGCACTTTTCCCTATTCTTCTTGTTAAATACAATTAAAATCCGTGGAGATGATACATAAAACAAACTCAAGAAGACTAAAAGGTGGAGAGGGAAAAGAAGACTGGCTAGAGATCTTGGGAACTGAGGTACTAAACAATTGTTACTTCCTCAAGTTCTCTTATAGCCTCCTAACTCCCACACTCAGAGCTGAAGAAGCCAGCCATTGGGAAACACAATGGAAACACGAAAAAAATGCCTCAGCTAAAGACTTCTCTCTCTAGCCACAGGACCAGAAAGGGGTAGCTTAACCAGACAGAAAACTTTTGGGAAGCTCTACTTTAAAACAAAAAACTATGATCCATCACCACCCACACCAGCAAAGGCTGAGTGGGGAACCTAGACTTCACCTCATCAGATATGAAACAATGTTCCTCAGTATCCCCATGGATGTGGTGTCAGAGAAGACGAATTTCATCCCCATAGAGTGAAAAGCAGGGTGGGAAAGCACATTGGGAACCTGGAATTCTACCCTCACCCTGTGGCACCCTCTTTACCCTCTTCTCTGGGGTGATATGACAGAAGGCCTCCTGGAAAGTTGAGACTTCCACCTACCACCCAGCAGCAATAAGGTGCCTCCCACAGTGGGGCCAGTGGGGACCATGTGGGGAGCCAGAAGTCCCACCACTGCTCAGCAATAATGAGGAGTCCCTCATATGAGTGACAAAAAAGGCAGCTGGAGAATCTGCACCTCTACTTCCATTACGTAGTAATAAGGTGGCCCCTCCCTGCTCCCCCATCTTAGTGGTGGCAGAGAAAGCCAGCTAAAACAGTAGGCTTAAATAAGATCCAGATTTGCATAACATAAATAAAAATGTCCAGGGTTAGATTGAAAATCACTCATCATACCCAAAACCCACCATCACCACTCTTATTCTGCATTCTTATCCAGTTCCAGCACCCTTACTCAGTGCTGGAAGCTCTATCCAGTGAAATGATGGGCATATAGATCAGAAAGGAAGGAATAAAACTGTTTGTAGACAAAATGATCAGCTACATAGAAAATTACAAGAAATCTACCCACAACAAGTCCTAGAACTAATGTGTAAGTTTAACAAGGTCACAGCATACACAAAAATCAACAGTATATCTATATATTATCAATGAACAGCAAAATTGAAAATACAATGTAATTTACAATCCCTCAAAAAAATCAAAATGATTAGGTATAAATCTAACAAAATGGATATGAAACTTGTATGTTGGAAACCATAAAACACTGATTGAAGAAATTAAGAGATCTAAATAAATAGACATATACTGTTCATGTATGGGAAGGTGCAACATAGAATATGAATTCTCCCCAAACTGATAGAGTAATGTAATCACTATCAAAATACCAGTAAGATTTTAAGGGTGTAGACAAATTATTGTAAACCTTATGTAGAAAAGAAAAAAAAAACTAGATTAGCAAAGAAAAATAAAGTGGAAAGAATCAACCTACCCAAATGCAAGATTAATTATATAGTTACAATTATTAAGACTATGTCATATTGGTAGATGGATAGATGCACAGAACAGTGGAATAGAAGGGAGAACCCAGAGACAGATCCACAAAAATATGTCCAACTTATTTTGACAAAAGTACAAAAACAATGCGATGAAAGAAAGATAGCTTATTCAATAATTGGTGATGGAGCAATTGTACATCCATAGGCAAAAAAAAAAGTGCAATTTTATCAAAGTCTCACACCTATATAAAAGTTAATTCAAAATGTATCACAGACTTCAGTGTAAAATGTAAAACTATAAAACTTTTACGAAAAAAAAAATAGGTAAAAATCTTGAAGATCTAGACCTAGATAGTTTTTAGACTTAATGTCAAAAGCATGATCCATGAAAGGAAAACTTGATAAATGAGATTATCAAAGTTAACAACACTTTTGTTCTGTGAAAGAACCTGTCTCAGAAGATGAAAAGTTATAGAACTGGGAAAAAGTCTTTGCAAACCACATATCTGACAGAAGACTAATATGTAGAATATAAAGAACTTGCAAAACTCAACAGAAAATAAGAATCCAATGAGAAAATGCTCAAAGGACATGAAGAAACACTTCACCAAAGAGGATGTAAAGATGGCAAGAAACACATGAAAAAATATCAACATCAGTAGCGTTAGGGAAATGGGAACTCACCCCACAATTATGTCACTACACACCTATCAGAATGGCTAAAATTAAATGACAACACCAAATGCTGGCAAAGATGGAGAGAAACTGGATCACTCACTCATTACTGATGGGAATGTGAAATGGTATAGCCACTCTGGAAAACAGTTCAGCAGTTTCTTTACAAACAAAATATGCAGCTACCACATGCCCTACCAGTGGCACTCCTGGGCCTTTATCCCAGATGAATGAAGACTTACATTAACACACAGACTTGTACACAAATGTTTATAGCAGCTTTATTTAAATAGACACATCTGGAAACAACCCAGATGTCCTTCAACAAGTAAAGCACACAACCATGGTACCATTAGAGACCCCATATAATCTCCAAAGAATTATTCTGAGTGGAAAACAAAATCTAAAAAGATTACAATACTATATGATTCCATTTTTATTAATGTTCTTGAAATGACAAAATTATAGAAATAGAAAAGAGATTAAAAGTTACTGAAGGATTAAGGCAAGGTTGGGGGCAGCATTTGGGCTCCTATAGTGATGGGAATGTTCTTTAGCTTAACTTTGTCAATGTCAATGTCCTAGTTATGATACTATAGTTCTATAAGATGTTACTGTTGGGGGAATCTGGGTAGCAAGTACACAACATTGCTCTGTGTTATTTCTTACAACTACATGTGAATCTATAATTATCTCAAAGTAAATAATTATTTCAAATTAAAAACAGTAAGCCCTTAGGGCACCTGGGTGGCTCAGTCCATTAAGCATCTGACTCGATTTTGGCTCAGGTCATGATCTCATAATTCATGGACTCAAGCCCCATATCTGGCTCTGTGCTGACAATGCAGAGCCTACCTGGGATTTTCTCTCCCCTTGTCTCTGCCCCTCCCCTGCTCATGCACACACTGTCTTTCTCTCTCCCAAAATAAATAAACATTTTTAAAAGAAGAAAAAATAATAATCCCTTAAAATAGAATATATAATATCATTTATTAATTTAATGATAAAATGCACAAATCACAAATCATCCCAGCTTCTTAGATACTATGCTCCGTCCTCAGATTCTTCAAACTTTGTTCTTATTCTGACAATTCTTTGGTGGGTAAGTGGGTGGGTGACTGGGTGGGTGGTTTCTATATTGTATAGTTACAGCTTTATCAAAGGAAAACATGGTTTGTGGGAAAAGCCTGGGTATACTAGTTGTTCATTGTGGGTCATCCCATATTTCAAGTGAATGCCCCCAAGCCCATAGCCACCATCTCGTAATATCTCATATTCCTTTCCACTTTCAGGAAAGCCACTAGTGAAGACATCACGAGTGACTGTGATCAACACGGAGGAGCCCTCAATCACAGTGGATGTAGGAAGCACCATCAAAACAGTGCAAGGAGTGAACGTGACAATTAACTGCCAAGTTGCAGGTGAGAAATGTATTCATGTGTTAATTCATCTGTTCAAATATTAATGGAGCCTTGTGCTAGGTCAGGGGATACGAAGATGAATACAGATTCTATTCTCAGGGACTCAGGGCTAGTAGGAAAGCTAAGGAAGGAACCTCAGTCACCCTGAACATGGAAAATGCTACAGGCATTTAGAGGAGGAAAGATGAATTCTGGCTGGGACTGAAGTGGTTTCTTATTTCAGCCTTGCACACTGAGAGAATATGAACATCCAAAGATGGGAGCAAAGTGTGTTCCAAGTGGACAAAAGAGTGTGGAAAAATTCATGGAAGTAAGCCCCCAAAAATAAGCAAAAAGTGTGTGGTTTGGTCTGGCTGGAGCCCAGAGTACAGAAATGGTGTGAAAAGGCTTAAACTTTAGAAAGGTGGGTTGTAACTATGCCATGGAAGACCTTAAAGCTGAGCCAAGGAGGTCAGAAAAAGGTGGGTGGATAGCGACCTTAAGGAGCCATGCTTCCAGAAGCCCAAGCCAACAGCAGTGCATAAAATGGACTGAAGATAGGAAATACTGAACCAGAGAGGCCCATTAAAAAGCTGTCATCGGGGGCACCTGGGTGGCTCAGTCAGTTAAGCATCTGACTTCAGCTCAGGTCACTATCTCATGGTTCGTTGGTTCAAGCCCTGTGTCAGGCTCTGTGCTGACAGCTAGCTCAGAGCCTGGAGCCTGCTTCAGATTCTGTATCTCCCTCTCTCTCTGACCCTCCCCTACTAATGTGCGCGCGCGCGCTCTCTCTCTCTCTCTCTCAGAAATAAATAAAACATTAAAAGAAAAAAAGAAAGGAAGCTGTCATCATAGTTGCGGCACCTGGCTGACTCAGTCAGTAGAGCATATGACTCGATTTTCAGGCTGTGAGTTCGAGTCCCACATTGGGTATAGAGATTACTTAAAAATAAAATCTTAAAATCAAAAAACTGGCATAGTAGTTTAGAGAAGAGATAATGGGGACCTGACCTCAGGGCAGTGGCAATAGAAAAGTAAGGGGTAGAGGAACATGAGAGATGGCAGAGATAAGACCAGCAGGAATCTGGAGCTTACTCTCATCAAAAGTGGTAGGAGTCATTGATGAGAACAGCCAGTGCTGTTAGGAATGGTGATACAGGAATTGCCCTCCAGTTAGCCTTGCAAATTCAGAGGCCTATGGGGGACTGGAAGTCAGAGGAAAGTGGAGGAAAAGTAGACAGTAGGGGGTGGTAGTATGCTCTTTATAAAGATACTTACCTTCAATTAAAAAACAACAGAGGTGCTGGGATGACTCAGTTGGTTAAACATTCAATTCTTAATTGTGGCTTAGGTCATGATCTCATGGTTCATAAGTTCAAGCCCTTCATTGGGCTCTGCGCTGACAGTGTGGAGCCTGCTTGGGATTCTCTCTCTGCCTCTCTCTCTGCCCCTCCCTGGCTCTCTCTTTCTCTCTCTCGATAAATAAACTTAAAAAAAAGAAAAAAAAAGTCATACAAAACCCAGCTGCTGATTCTCCCTTCCTATGGACCACACTACTTGGTGACATCTACCCTAAGGGTTTTCACTCCCACAATGCAAAGAAATGCATTGTACCAGGGCCTGGCTACAGTCCCCTGCTTGCTGTCCTCAGCAGATACACCCTGCTGTGGCACACCCAAACGCAGGTTCCCCGGTCATGCTCAGTGTACACAGTGGACAGGCAGTGGCACCCTGTTCTGGGCCTTTCTCTATCTCAGATCTACACCCCATTATCAGAAGCTTTACCTCCACTTAGGATTCATAAGCCACATAACCCATTTTCAAATAGGTAGGAAGAAGATCTTAACCTAAAGCAGTTTGTTTCCGAACAGTGGCCAGGCTGGTCTCCTCTGAAATATTCTGGTAGCTCCAGGAAATCAGAAATATAAATCTCTCTCTGTCATCCTACATTAGCTTCTTTTTAATAAAGCATCCCTAGGCCTGCATGTCCAACCTCACAACCATAGCTCTGCAGGCTCTGTATTCCCAGATGAGGAGTCACATAACACCTCCAAAGGGGCTGCCCTTCATGCAGGGACTGATGGTACAGATAAGGCCTTCTGTGCAGAGCCATCGTTTCCCACCCAATCACTGCGAACACAGGCCTCAGAGACAGCACTGACTGAGATAAAATGGAACATGGTGGCTTTCTTCTTGATGGGTGAGGTTGGTAGGAATAGAAGAATGGGGAGCAAGGGACAGCGCAACAAGGGAAGTGGGCACTTAAAGGAGACTGAAGAAGCAGAATCCAGGCGAGGCAGTATTTACCACAGGGAACCAGGGACACTAAAACCAGCTTTGGCCAGTTCTCCCATGGCACTTCCTGTCTCCCTGACTCCATCCAGAGACTCACTCTTGGTGACCTTATCGTGAGACCACAGGCTGCCGTGCCCAGTTCTTGCCTGGCCATGCACAGTACAGTCTTTATTTTTATTTTTACTCATAGAACCATTTGTGTTCATCATGGTTAACCAAAATGCATCTGTGTTCCTTTGTCATTATGCCTTTTGTTAAATAAGATATTTCCTCAGAGGGCTGGGAAAGAGACTACTTTTGATTACCTAGTTGGTCTGTGAATTTGCTGGAGAAAGCAGTTACCCTTGAACTGAATCTCCAGTCAAAATATGATGCTCAATGGCAGTAGCAGTGACTTTTACGTTACTAATACAAGTGGCTCTGTGGCTTTCTCGTGGTATAACTTTAATGGCTATTTTATAGTCTATACTAAGAATATTATATAATTTACATAGATTAACTTCTTTCCTTACATGTTTGGGTTCTTAGAAGTTTCTCATTAAATAAGTTTTTGTACATGTATGCTTTCAACTTGTAAGATGCAGCCTCACAGATTCTTCCCAACCCTTAAACATAAAAAATATTAAGCAACGAGTATGATGAACATTCTTCTTGAAAAGTGATCTAATGCACTGGCCTACTCACACACATTTTCTCTATTTGAGGAGAGTTCAGAAAACTTAGTAGGAGATAAAGGATTGGGGGAGGAGGGAGTGTTTGTCATTTGGGATTAGCACATACAAAGGTCCTGAGGTAGAAAGAGCAGGCTTCATCTAAAGGAGTAGAATATGGCTGGTATGGCTCTAGGACAGAGAGCAGAGAAGAAGGTAGCATGACATGTGGCTGGAGGGTTGGGGGCAGAAGGCAGGGACTGGCTCTTACATGTTCTCATAGATTATGGTACAATTTGGGATTTTATCCTAAGAGCCAAGGAAGCTTTTGAAGAACTTGGGGGGGTAAAATTGTCAGGACTAGTGATACAGAAATAAATAGTTGAGGAGTCAGTGATGGGCAGTATATTCATTAGGACAGACTCTGGTAATAAGTAGACCAAGTGTATAATGGACCAAATACAATAGAAGTTTATTGTCGTTTAGCTATGAGTCCAGAGAACGGCTGCCCCACACAGTCACTCAGGCTCAAGGGATGCTAGCGGCTTTGTTATTTTCAACACATGCCCTCCAAAGTGTCCCCAGGGGTTATCTCTAACCAGTCAACCCGAAGAGGGAAAAAACAAAGCGTGGAAGGTGTTTGGGAAGGCTTTTCAGGGCCAGACCTAGAAGCGGCACACATTGACACTTCTCACAGTCCCTCTTAGTCACGTGGTCACTCACCACCACATGGGATATTGAACAGTGTAGCCTAGAGGGATACCCAGGAAAAAGAAGGAAACAGGTTTTATGAACAGCTATCAGTGTCTGCCACAGTCAGCGTGGAAAAATGTGGACGGCTGAAAACCTTGTGTCCAGACTTCTACGGTTCTTTAGAATAATTGCCAAGACCGCCATTTCAGTTACTGTATCCTTTTCGTTTCTTGCACCAAGCCATCGAAGAAGTTTCTAAAGTGCATCATGTTAAGGAGCACCTTGCAGTGGACACCCCACCTTGAAATGCTGACAAGCTGCCAAGGAGCAAGCAGCGATCCGAATATAACAAGTGGTTAGCAAGAATCTCCTGTCTGGAATTTTAAAAAAGTATTGTGGCATCACCCTACCTAGCAGTTCTGTGGAGATTAAGGGCACTAATCCTTATAACCATATCAAGTGACAACCCATTCTGACCACATTTATTGATCCTTTCAAGCAACAGGGAGGGCACTGTGCTGTTGAGAAGATTTGCCACCAAGGAGAAAAAGTAAAAGATGAGCTTTTTCCCCTCCCCTGTTTTAGACACAAATCCTACCAAGAGAATCCAGAGTGTGGAGCCTGTCCAAGTAACTTGTCAACAACATACCTTGGACTTTGTTCTGTGGTAGAGTATATTTTCTGTCATTTTTTTAGACATTTCTTTCAGTAAAATGTGTGGTCACATCACAACAGTCTAGAAAAAAAATCTCCCACAACCTGACCAGCTTCTCAACAAGAAGAGAGCTAACAAAGCCAACATATGTGGGCTCTAGACACCTCTCCTAACAATAACCTTGGTGTTACAGTTACAGCAGAAAGGCTAACTCTTTAACCCTTTAGGTTAACTTAAAGGGTAACTTTTTAAGTAGAAAGGATTTGACAGGTCAGAAACAATAGTGCAGCAATTCTGATCTTCTCTAAAGAGGCAGTCGGGTACATTGGCAGGCAGATGGGGGTCTGTGGCATTGAATGAGGGAGTTTGGGTCTCCACACTGCCATTTGTAGGTTACTGATTGGCCATGCGGTGAGGATTAGGAAGGGACAAGGGCTCTGTGCCCTTGTCATCATTCAGGGATCCAAGCTCACATCACTTGATGTGAAAAATGTGATGATGTTTATAAAAGGTTTGGCTTATAGCAAATGTTCACCAAATGTTCTTCTTCCTCTAGTGTGTTCATGCACAGTTCCTGACCTTTGCTCATTCCCCATGCTCAGGTATTCTGAACATTAGTATTAAGCACATGTATCTGGTACCTTTTCGAGGCACACTGGCTTAAACAATGGCTGGTGATGTTTACTAAAGCATCATTATCCTCTCCTGAGGACAGTAGTGCTCTGTGTGGCCTCATTTATTTTTCCTCTTCCTTTCTTCTTTGTTTATAAGATGCTCGAGTCAGTCATGAAAAGGACTCAAAAGATTCTAAAGCATCTTTTTGGTGTCATTCTCTGCCTAAGGCCCACAGTCCCAGGCAGGAGGCCCCCAAAATGTGACCCCAGACACAGCTCCTCCATCAGCAGATTCCTAATGCGGGTCCATACTTGAGTGAGCCTGAGAGAGATTTGCTAATAAGTGTATTAAAGAACAATTCCTCCATAGTTTCTCCTCCTTTGGCCCTGCTGTCACATTTATGGCTTTAATTGTACAGAGATTGGAGATAAGTTCCTTCCACCCTTTGCTATCCTGAATATTTCTAGTTCTCCCAAGAGCACCCCTTCCCTCACCTGAGGAACTCAGTCCTTTTGGCAAGCACCCTGTCCTGGCAAACACCCTGATTTCAAGGGGGCATGAGGCAGAGCGATTACGGGAATAGAAGAAGCTTGCACCCACTTCATGGGGAAGTGGGGAATGGCTCCAGGTGTCTCTCCCTCGCCTCTCGTTTCTCACCTTCCCTCTCCGCCCCTCCCACTTCCTCTCTTCTCCTACATGTCTCGGCCTCTGGCTGTCCTGCTTCCCTGAAGGATCCTTGCTGCAGGATTTGTCTATGTTGGAGAGAGAGCCTCATGAGACACACACACCACCCCCCATCAGCACCGTTCGCTCCCCTCTCCCCCCACACCCCTCCCACCCCATTAACTTAGCGACACTGAACACCCACTTAGTCCAGCTCTCTTACTCTGCCTCTTTCTTTCTTTCTTTTTTTTTACAAATAGTTTATTGTCAAGTTGGTTTCCATATAACACCCAGTGCTCATCCCCGCAAGTGCCCTCCTCCATGCCCATTACCCCCCCTCCCCCACACACCCATCAGTCCTCAGTTACTCTGCCTCTCTTGCTCCAGAACAGCCTTAGCTTCTATCAGGGATTGTGTGCTTGCTGCCCGTAGCCATCCTCGAAAGAACGTTCCAGCACACATGCTGCATGAGCAATTCATAGCGAGGAAAAGACTTGCCGAAAATGATTTGTAGGGCCTCGTTTTTCCTAGTGCTTTCAGGAGAGAAATGGCAGGGAATGTTTTCTTCCGCTTGCCTTTCAGAGGCCTTCTCTTGAATTCTGTGGGTTTGTTGTTGTTGTTGTTTTAACATAAAAACTGAGCTCAGGGTCCAAAGTCCGAGCTGGCATGGCAAGGCACCATGATGCTCTTGCTCTCCCTAGTGGTGCTGCAATGAAAAATCAACTTCTCTGCCTCTTACCTGCATCTTTTGTCCAAGTATATTCAGAGGCCGTGCCAACTTGGTCCTTCTGCATTTGAGCATCAGGCAGCATGACGTATGCCTCTCTCCCTGATGAGACAGGGATGTGGTATCTAAATCTCCATCCCCTTTCACCTGTTCTGCCTCCTATTTCCAGCCAGCCTGGTGATCCTTAGTGATTCTCACTCAAATTACTGGTAATTTGACTAAAAGAGAAAACCACAGAGCTCCTCTGTTCCTCATAACAGGGAGGAAGGCCTTACAGATTGGCCAAACATTTTGACCACCACCTTCGGCCACTGCTCCAGGCCCACCTGAGGCAGCAGAGCTGCCAGGATACCAGTGAATTCACACCCAGCAGTTCATCATTAGTGAGGGAGTGTGAGACCACCTTCCTACCTCCACCCCACTTCCTGCTACCGGAGCTCAGGAGTAACAAGTATGTAGGGTCCATAATTAGGGCTCTGGATCTGGGTGTTACAGCATAGACTGCTGGTAAATTGTTCATTGGATTCAAGGACAAGGGACAGGTACACAGGTCTGTATTCTCACCAGTCGGCTGCCCGTTAAGGGCAACACTACCCTTGTCCCAAGGGCAGAATCCAGCCCCGGCTCAGGAAAGCACAGGACTAAAGGCGCAGCCCCTTGACTCTTCCTGGTTTTGACTCCCATTTACCAGGATTTGACATTATAAACACACGCTGGATACATGCCCCAGATTTCTGAGTAAATTTTTTGAGCTGGGCCACCAGGCTGAGCATTGCGAGAAACGGACTTTCTGTACCCCAAAGACCTGTGAATTGATGCCACGGATTTTCTGTCTCTCAACTCACTCAGAGCTCAGCCTCCTGTGGGGCAGACTATCTTGGAAGGCTCATCCTGAACCAGGAGCTTGCTTACCAGCATGTTAGCCATAGAGAGGCTTCCTAAAGAATTAAGCCTGTCCCCTTGTCTTCACCTACCAAGGCTGCTCTTACAAAATATCCGTAGAATAGGTGGCTTAAATGTCCAAAATTTATCTCTCGAAGTCTGAGATGAAGGTACCAGTCCATCCAACTTCTGCTGAGAGATCTTTTCCTGGATTGCAGATATCCATCTTACTGTGTCCTGACACGATGGAGAGAAGAGGACAAGATCTCTGGTCTCTTCTTATAAGGGCACTAAGCCCACCATGATGACTCCACCCCCATGATCTCATCTAAACCTAATTACCTCCGAAGGCCCTATCTCCAAATACCATCACATTGGAGATGGTTAGGACTCCAACATATGAATTCGTGGGGAAACACAAGTGTTCAACCAATGGCGCCCATAGAGGAAGACAAAGCCCAACTTCTAAAGGCATATACTCTATCCTAACTCATTTGCACACTCCCCAGCTCTCTCTCACAGACAATAAACCTGGGTTGAAGAGAGAACAGAGTACTTTCTTTTTGTCTCTCCCTCTGTGGTGCTACTGACCATGGTTCCATGTTCTCTTGTTCTAAGAAAAATACATAGGCTTGGGGCAACCGGGTGGCTCAGCATGTTAAGCATCTCACCCTTTCGGCTGAGGTCATGGTCTCACGGTTTGTGAGATGGAGCCTCACGTTGGGCTCTGTGCTGATGGCTCAGAGCCTGCTTGGGATTCTCTTTCCCAAAATAAATAAACGGTTTTTTAAAAAAGAAAAAACATAGGCTCCAAAAAATAGAGGCATATTTTCCACATGTAGTGTCAATTCTGGTAAAGTTCCAGCAGCTTTCATTTGTCTAGTTCACGAATATACTAATATTTTGTAGCTTTTAACTTTCTATTGAAGTGTAATTACCTATACAGGAAAGGGTACATGTCATAAAGTTACCGAGCCCACAGAACCAGCCCTCAGGTCAAGACATGGAGAATTGCCAGCCACCAGGGCCCCCTTCCAGTCCCTCCCCATTCATCCCTCCCTCTCAGAGGAACCATCACCCTGACAGCTAACAGCTTAGATTGATGTTATCAGTTTTGGTTTTTCACTTCCAGAGATGAAATCATACAGTATATCCTCTTTTGTGTCTAGCTTCACTTATTCACTATTCATGTTGGTTTCACGTAATTGTCAAAAGTGACTTTTCACTGAGGTATAGATGTGGTTCTTGGGTTTATCTGTGCTTTCCACAAAGACTTTGGGTACTTTCCTTCCCCCTTGGCAAGCACCCTTACCAGCTGCCCCCTGTTCTGTTAACTGGCCTCTCTCTTCCTGCCGCGTCAGTGTGTGAGTTTTAAAAGGCAAAAGATCTCAAGACCACGGAGAGGTCAGAGGCATTATTTAGTTTGGCCAAAGGATGGTGGAAGACGCCCAGGCAGATGCTTCCTGTGGAGGAGCCCCTGGGAGGGCCCACCAAGCAGCCAGAGAACTGCCTCCGGGGCACCTAAATGTGTTTAGCTGATTGAGGTTTTGTTTTTTTTTTTTTTTTTCTTCCTAGGTGTGCCTGAAGCCGAAGTCACTTGGTTCAGGAATAAAAGCAAACTGGGCCCCCCTCACCATCTACACGAGGGCTCCTTGCTGCTCACAGACGTGTCCTCCTCAGATCAGGGCCTCTACTCCTGCAGGACAGCCAACGTGCATGGAGAGCTGACAGAGAGCACGCAGCTGCTGATCCTAGGTAAACACCATGAGGCCAGCTGCCCCTGCTGGACCCCATGGGGGTGGCTGTCTGATCCCCTCTGATCCAATTAAGTACTTAAAAGCAACATCCCTTCCCTTCTCCCCACCTTAGGGCCTTCCAGTAGAAAGAACACAGACTTGGAGGCCAGGCAGACAGCAGTTTGAACCCTGGATCTACCACTTCTTCCCTGTGTGACCTTGGCTGGCTCACTGAGCCTTACTAAGCCTTAAATGCTGGTCTTGACATGGACACCTTTTCAACAAGGACTGCCCACATAGGAGGAGGGGGTCGTCCGCTTGAGCTACGGAAGTAAAGCAGTTATTTTTAATGTCTTCCATGTTCAAGACTTCTTTGAGAATCAAATGAAAGCTATAGATTACCCCCTCCAGAAGAATTCAGACATGCAACATTTTGCATATAATTTTGGGAGGTTCATAGTCTAGCCCACATAAAGTCCACACAGGCATCCCGCTGTCTTAGCCTGCTAGAAGACAACCCCACAAACTGAGTAGCTGATAAACAACGGAAATTTATTTCTCATGCTTCTAGAGGCTGAAAGTCCAGAATCAAGATGCCAAGACCATCTGGTTCTGGTGAAGCCCCTTTCTGGGTTGTAGATGGCTGGCTTCTTGCTGTGTCCTCTCACAGCAGAAGGGACCAGCCAGCTCTCTGGGGTCTCATTTATAAGTGCATTAATTCCCATCATGAGGGCCCTACCTCCCCTCCATCACCTAATAACACCACCAGGACTTCACATATGAATTTGAGAGGACACAAACATTTGGACTATAGCACCCCCAAACAGAAGAACCCCTGGCTAAAGTGTGTAACACAGTTCTTGGCATAACATGGGTATTTAAAAATAACAACTGCTGGGACATCGTCCAGCGTTCCCTGTTGCCCACAGCTGGGCTCAGCCATGTTGCGATCAATAACCCGTTTTTCCCCTAGACTAGGGACCCTGGGCTTATCTTCCCCGTTAGAGTCTGGAACTTAGAGGGATGCCGTAAAAAAGCTTGGTTTTATCTTACCCTTTTTTTTTAAAACAAGTATGAGAGCACTTAAGCTAGTTTTCTCACTAAGAGAAAGCTATCATTCTAAGAAAAAAGAAAACTGCAAGAAATATGAATAGACACACCCAATACGCATGCACACATGCGTGCGCGTGTGCGCACACACACACACACAATAGACTTCCTTTGGGGAAAAATAATTAAACTTTATACTTGTATTTCCATAACCCCAGCTGTTGATGTACCAACAATTTGGGTCTCTAGCCCCTGCCCACTCAGATTTCAGAGAGGCCCAAGCTGGTTTTCATCTCACCAGTGGCTGAATAAACCTCCAGTAATAGAAAGCCCCAGAAAAGCAGTTCAGTGGAGGGTGTCATTTGTCCTGCGCTGGGTCTCATCTGGCTGAGCTGTGTGCGAGGCTGGAGCCCTGGGCCCAGGGACCTCTGCCTCACACTGAGCTACAGTGCTCCACCATGGGGTTCTCCTCCCTCACAAGGCCTGCGTGTCGCCTGTGCTGACAGGGATGAAAGCCTAGGACGTGTAGCTGCTACTGTAGGTCTGCCAGGGAAGTGTGAGCATTCTGTGAGCCAGCTCTGGCAGCTGTGCAACCATAAAACAGCATGACTGTGAACATGTTGCTGGACAAGCATAACATCTTCCCGTTTTAATCAAATGTGATGGGAACAAATCACCATGTAGCCTCTTACGTTTAGGGCTTTTCTTGATCAGAAGCCTTGGTGTATGAATCGAAGTATTTTTAGTTTTATAAGTACTTGATGAGCATAGAAATAATGTCTCTCCCTTTTTTTAATTTTAATAGGCCAAAAATGTGGCTTCCTTTTTAAACAAGGGACTTCACGTATAAAACCGAGGTTTCAGGGCCACCTGGGTGGCTCAGTTGGTTAAGTGTCCAACTTCAACTCACGTCACGATCTCACGGTTTGTGAGTTCAAGCCCCACATTGGGCTCTGTGCTGACAGCTCAGAGCCTGGAGCCTGCTTTAGATTCTGTGTCTCCCTCTCTCTGCGCCTCCCCTGCTCATGCTCGCGCTCTCTCTCTCTCTCTCTCTCTCTCTCTCTCTCTGAAAACTAAATAGGCATTAAAAAAAATTAAAAACTGAGGTTTCATGCCAATACCTGTGATTAATCTGTAGTATGGAGACTTGAAGTGTAATGAGATTTTCATTCATTTACTCCTATAGCCATTGAATGAACATTCATTACATGTAGCCTTTAAATTCCATATCGAGCTTTAGGATAAGTTTAAGAGGTGACCCCTGCCCTCAGAAAATTTACAGTTTCCCTAGAAAGATCAGATGGACATGCACCAAAGAAGAAAAATAGATAAAAGCTGTAAGGGCCTTAGGAGGAGCTGACATTTGGCCTAAGAAGATCCGATGGTTTTGAAGATGTGACATAACCTCCCTTTTATGCTCGTAGTAAACAAGCAAAGGTTTCTTGAGTTAATATTCCAGAAGGAATACTCAGTATTCAATTTCAGTATTCTCAAGAGAGTATTAAAACAGATAAGAAGAGGAAAGTCTAGCTTAGAGTAAACTGCCACCTAAAGTTTCTAAAATCACAGTATCTCAAAGCAGAAAGAGATCTGGGAAATGATGAGATGCCTCATCATTTTATAGACCAGGAAAGTAAGGCTCAGAGGGACTACTTGACTTGCCCAAGGTAGTGAATGACAGAGTCACAGCTCAAAGAGAGGATTCCTGAGCCCACACATGATATCTTCACCCTATACTATATAGATAGTATTGTTAAGTTATATGCAACATATATGAAGACTTTATAATTTTTAAACTATTATATATTTTTTTAATAAAATCTCAAGCTCACCATTATTTTCTATATGTGACAGTCTTTTGTAGTCAAGGCAGAGTAGAGAGAAGGTTTATTTCTGAAGCAGACCCTGGAGCCATAGGGACTTACTTACCACCCTTAGAAGTATCTAACAAGATGACAGGCACATGATAGGCCCTCACTGAACACCAATGAAATGAGCATCAGTTGCAAGAGCAATACTCCTGCTTGTCTTTAGATCCTGACAAGTGCTCTAGAGGCAAAGGAGAGAGTCCGCCCTGGGAGATGCAGGAAGTGGGGAAACAGGATTCTGCTGCTTTTCCTGGAGAACCTCGGGTCACCTCGCCACCAAATTCAATAGGGGCTCGCCCTTTGGTTGTCCAGTGGAAGGGACAGGCAAGCCCATATATTTCTCATTTTTGCCACTTTGGTCTCTGGTTAAATGTGACCTCTGGTGACTTTAGCCCTTCTAAGATTTTGAAGCACAGATCATCCCTGTCCTGCTTATCTGGTCCTTACCTGGGCTTAAAAATCCAGACCACAAAGCAAATTAACTTTATCAGCTTCATAACCACTTTTCTTCATAGAAATAGTCACCTGTAGGCTTCTTTTAAATAAGGGATTCCTGTGGTGATGTGTGTGTATCTGTGGGGACAGTAACAAACTGCTCTAAAGGATGTTGTAAGAGTTAAATGAAGAAAGGAATGAAAACTATTTAACACAGGACTTGGCACATAATAAATGCTGAAGAAGTGTTCGCTTTTTAAAAGTGTTTTTATAATGGTTTAATTTGCCTACACATTTGTAAGAACCCAGTGGTACTGTGTATACAGTGCTATACAGTAAGGAACTCCTAAAAATCAACATACCTGATTCTTATTACTGACCTTATTGTTTGGGGCATCAAATATTAAGCTTGAAATTCAGACTCACCTTGATAGGCACTAGACAATAGTAGTGCTCACCTCACACGTGGACACACATATGTGCACACCCACCTCTCCTTCTCCCCTGAATGCAGCCTTCATGCTTTAACCTGGCTGACTCCCCATCTGCCTTCTCACAGATCCCCCCCGAGTCCCCACACAGTTGGAAGACATCAGGGCCTTACTTTCAGCCACTGGACCGAACCTCCCTTCAGTGCTGACATCTCCTCTGGGAGCACAGCTGGTCCTGGATCCTGGGAATTCCGCTCTCCTTGGTGAGTCCAATTCTCTGGAACGTTGGGCAGAATTCCAGGGCTGGACAGGATTTATGGATTGGTGACTACTTGCAGGTGGGAGGGAGGCAGCGGTAGGGGGTGGCCAACAGGAAATCACTAAATTGCCTACAGAATCCAGACTCACCAGTGGAAACTTGGCTGACTTTCCATGTGAGGTGAGTGTAGATCTTTGTCTGGACTCTAGCTTGTCTAGATTCCAACATGGCTCCTTTCTGAATCCTCTTGGGTGGATGCCACAGTCCAGATCCTCTCAATCAGGTTGACTCGCTAAACAGTAAGTCAAGAGCAGAGCAGTAAAAACAGCTCTTCTATCCCCTCTCCCCTTGCCAACCATACCCCGGGATAACCCCAGGACCCTCACAACTAAATTAGAGCTATAATCAGCCTTCAAGAAGAAAAAAGCTAGACAATTCTATTTAGGCTAGCCTTCTGTAGGTAGGGCCTAAAACCAATCCAGATGGACTTCTCAAAGCAAGTGTTTAGATAACTTTACCAAGTACAACTTCCCTGACACCTGTCACTGGGAATCCTCACCAATTATTGCCCACATGTCTGGTGCCCTCTGGTAGCAGAGAGGTATGCAAAGGCTTCTTGCCCAGGGCCCTTCACATCAGAATCGTGGAGATGCCTCAGGAACCTCTACGCTCCCATCATGACCTCTGGAGGTGGTCATGGTGGAAAAGAAGAATTGTCTGCTATCAAAGACCTTAAGAGGGGCGCCTGGGTGGCTTAGTCAGTTAAGCGTCCGACTTTCGCTTGGGTCATGATCTCGTGGTTCGTGGGTTCGAGCCCCGCGTCGGGCTCTGTGCTGACTGCCCAGAGCCTGGAGCCTGTTTCAGATTCTGTGACTCCCTCTCTCTCTGACCCTCCCCTGCTCACGCTGTCTCTCTCTCTCTCCTAGAAAAAAAAAAAAAAAAAAAGACCTTAAGAAAAAAAGAAAGAAAGAGAAAAAATACCTTAATACCTTACCTTAAAAATAAGACACAGATGCTATGACAAGTAGCTCCAATTCTGTTTCCTATAACTTACATAAACTTGGTGTTGAGTTTTTCCACATCATGTTGATCAGAATTCATAGAAGTTTCAAATTGCTTTTCTGTTGGCTTATAAATGGTAAATGTTTTCCAAATTAATGTGAACACTGTGAGCTTTCTTATTTTAGACTCATCACTAGAGAAATTGTCATAACTATTCATCATAGTCCAGTCATTAGCAGAGTGTGCAGCAATGGTTTATTTTCAAGTTCAATAACCCTTGGGTCACTCAGGTGCCATTCAGCATACTGGAAAAATTAACCTGCTCATATTTTTCCATTATAGTTTTACTTTCTTTCTTCATTATTCTGGAATAATATTTTGTCTTATTGTAGCCATGAGCAATAAGAATTTATTGTGCCTTATGCTGCTGCATTCCATTGCTAGTTTATAGTACTTTGTTACCTTAGACTGGTATTTAAATCAAACAGTTAAGAGACACCTTAACACCCTAATTCACATCCATACTGCTCCATTTGAATGAGACAATGAGTCAGTTACCATAAAGTCCCTAAATGTAACTGCTTAGGCAACATGGACCCTAGCGGTGAATGTTGATGTGAATACAGAGCCAGCGCTATAGAAGTAAAAGGGAGCTACATGGAATTGTGGAGAAGAATTAAGAAATGATGTCAGGCATCAAGGCTCTGAGAAATAGGTCATTTGAAACATACCAGGGCCTAGATATGTTAGTCTAGTTGCTCTTATTTGGACTACTTCCCATCCCCGACTTCTGTTGGTGGCCCTTTAAGACCAGAGTGCATGTTCTAGGTACAAAAATAGGTCAGGGAGGCAATTCTGTCTTGCATTGCTGAGATGGCAAGCATGTCAAATTGTGGAGGGCCTTGGTTATTAGGCTAAGGAAGTAAATTTTCTGTGTGGGAAATGGGGACAGATCTTTGGAGGGTCTTTAAGTAGGAGGATGATATAGTAAAAGTAATATTTGACAGACTTAATCCAATATTCTGTAAGAGTAACTAATAGAGCAATTCAAGGAAGAAAACCTATTTTGTGAGTAACAGATGTTCTAGACTGGGATGGAAATATGGGGCAAAGAGACTGTTAATTGCCCCTTCCACAACTTACACATCTCCAATTTCATCGGCCCAGGCACTGCCTTGGAATTCATTTTAACATTCCCATGAAGCATGGTGGAGTTGATATATAGGATGAAAGTCATTTGTCAACCCTGTTGTATCCGGTAAATGGTGACATTCCTGTGTATGTATTTCTCCCATCTAGTAGATTGGTTGGCTGTGTCAGATTCAGAGAACTTCATGGCTCTGTGGCATAAGGACAGTAACGCATGGGCCTTGATTCTCATGTTTTCATGGAAGAAGGAAAAAAGGGAGATTTGAGGTTTTTCAAAGCTATATATCTGAGCTAACTCTTCTTGGTTAAGACTCAAGTGTTGAGATTCCCAGCAGGTGGGCTATTTCAATAATGACTATTTTAGTTGACAGACACTCTGACATTGATTTCATTTCAAGCCACTGCTAGAACTTTCAAGAAGGAATGTTGATTGAGCAACATGTACATGGGCCTATGTGGGCCTCAGTTTCCATAACTGTAAGTGAAGACTTGGGACCAGTGAGTCTCCTGTTGCTCTCACACTCTTTGTTGTATGGCACAGATTTGGAAAATGCCCAGTAGAGGCTCGGCCATGCAGAGTGGACCCAACCTAACCAGATTCATTGTCCTAGGCAAGATGGCTGCTAATTTTCTTTGCCCTTATTTTATAGCTGTCCTTGGTGCTGGGAGGCCTGATCTGTGCTGTGCCAGTGCTGTGTGTGGAGGGCAAGGCCCATGCCACCCCCTTTACTGGTCCAGGTCTAGGGCTCAGAGCTCCAATTTTAGAGCAGCAGTATCCCAGGCCTCCCTGCAGCACCTGCACCTTTGTGCAGCCCTTCTGTTAAAAATATTTCTTTGGTTGCTAAGGCTCGAAATTAATATTTCTCACAGTATCATTTATAGGGCATTAACATTGGTATAATATAAAAAAGAAACTTTTGTTGAAGTTTCTGTTAGAAAAGCAGTAAATCTTCGTTGTAGAACAATTAAAAATAGCAAAAATTAAGAAACTAAAAATTATCTATAATTGCTTAGCCTAGATAAAATGAGTGTAAATATCTTTTTCCTAGTCATGAATATACACATTATACATATCTTTTGTCTACCATGAAATCATACTCTATATGCTGCTTGCAACTTTTTTCACTAACTGGTATATGGCAATTATCTTTCCATGTCTCTAAATATTCTTCTATAATTTTAACTTTGAGGGCCGTATTGGTAGGAGGTATCATACATTCAACCAACTCTCTAATGCTGAACTTTTAGATTCTTTGCAGTCTTTTATATAATATAAAAACATAGATGTGGTGAATATTCTGAAAATTTTGGGGTACACCTCTCAGCATAAATTTCCAGAAGTGGAATTATTATGTCAAAAGTTTTGTATATTTTACTTTTTGTTCTTTTCAAATGCCCTCTGAAAAAGTTTTACCTATTTGTATATGCACAGTACATGTGAGAATTCTCACTTCCCTAAAATATTACCTATAGTATATATGAGCAAGAGTTTTCATATTTATTTTAATTGAATACACAATAGTATATAATACAATATAAAAATTATTTAAAATTTTTCTTTAGTTATGATTTTTAAGAATTCTTGTTTTTAATTTTTATGAATCATTTGCATTCATTTATGAGTTGCCTGTTCAGGTCCTTTTCTCATTTATTGAAAGAAATTTATCTTATTTTAATGATTTGTAAAACAAAGCACATATTTATATATGCTTGATGTATATTTGACATAAAAGTTTTTAACAGCCTTGTTGAGAGATAACTGGCATTGGTATAAATAAATAAAACACATTTTAAGTCTAAAACTTGATGTTTTGATACATAGATAAATCCATTAAACCATCACGACAGTCAACATCATGAACATACTCATCATCCCCCAAAAGTTACTTTTACGCAATCGTGCCTTCATGCCCTTGCCCCACCCCTCATCTACCCCCGGCAACCACCAATCTGCTCTCAGTATAGATTAAATTGTATTTCTAGAATGTTTTCTAAAAAGACTCCTACTGTAGGGAGAATGGCTTCTTTTACCCAGGATAATTATTTTGGCATTCATCCATAGTGTAACATGCATCAACAGCACACCCTTTTGTCAACTAGTGTTCCATTGTACACATAGACTACTGTTGGTTTAATCACCCACTTGTTGAGGGACAGAATGGTCATTTCCCATTTCTGGTTGTTACAAATGAAAATGCTATTCATGTACCCTTCTTTGTAGGGACACACTCTTTCATCTCTCTTGATTAAATATCTAAAAGCGAAAGAGCTTACATCATAAGTAGGTGTTTGTTTAACATTTTAAGAAACAGCCAGACTGTTTTTTAAAGCACTTGTACTACTTTACGTTCCCACTGGCAGTATCAGACAGTTCTAGTTTCTCCACATCCTCAGCAACACTGGCTATAGTCAGTCTTTAATTTTAGACATTCTCCTGGGTCTGTAGTAATTTCTTGTTGCGCTTTTAATGTGTATTTTCCTAATGGCTAATAGTGTTGAGCATCTTTCCATGTGCTATTTGCCATTCTGATTCCTTCTCTGATGAAGGGTCTATGCAGTTTTCTTCCGTGGTTTTTTTTTTTAATTGGGTTGTTTACTTACTGAATTTTGAGAGTTCTCCATCTACCTTAAAGGCAAGTCTTTTATTAGATACGTAAGTCTTCAAATATCTTGTCCCAGTTGGTGGATATTTTTTTTTTTACTCTTTGAGTGACTTTCAAAGAGCAGAAGATTTTAATTTTGATGAAGTCCCACCTATTATTTTTTTTTCTTTTGTGGATGGCTCTTTTGTGGTTGCATTTAAGAAATTTGCCTACTCCAGGGCCCCAAAGATTTTCTTCCATGTTTTCTTCG